CCAATATTCGTGAATATGGTGATTATTATTGTTTAAACTCAAACTATATCAATATTTCTGATTATGTGTGTTTTTTCGTCAATAAAAAATACTTCCGAGCCCCTAGGCTGCTACAGATACTTACAGCTAAATTTGATTAACTTTTTAAATTTGATAATTTAAACTCATTTAAGTCAACTTGTATCAAAATAGTCACAAATATGTTTTTACTTTTAAGGAGTTGTTTTTTTCCAAATTTATATAAAATATAGATGAATTCATGCAATGAAATGATTCTAGTTTACATTGACGGTTGCGAATATTCTTCAAATCGTTCATTTCCAAATATACTTCAGTGTACAACTATATCAATGATGATAATTTAAATGAATTTAAAAATATTTCTTTGTGTGTGTGGCAACTATCGATTCCCTGATATCACAGTATTAGTGCATTGATAATACTATTATGATATGAGTTCATTTGAGAGTTGGAGCATGTGAATGTGCAATTGTGCATATGCTTATATTTCTTTATTATTAATATAATAATTCAAATGCTGCTGCGTGAAAATGATATAAATCTGTGAAAATATAATGAAAATGTGTTGTGATTTTTGAGGTTGAGGGTAGATTTGGTTGTGGTAGCTTGGTGGTGGTTGTTCTGCTTCTTCTTTTGGCATTTTGTGTCTATTAGAAGATAGATATCTGCTCCCAATCCTCACAGAACTCTTACACTCTTTTAATTCGTCGCAAGCATGACACATAGCACGTTAAGATGAAAAAGAAGAAAAGGAAAAGTGAAAAATATCGGTGCCGATCACATATGCAGTCGATAAGATACAGCATACAGCGGCAATATACTCGCTAATAATTCGTAATGAAAAAATAAAATAAAATATACGAACTGGTAAAAAATTAAATAAGGATACAATTGAAATCGTGTAGGTTTTGTGACGGCGGTTGCGGCGACGGGTGGCTGCTTGTCATAAGATAATAGGTGATAAAAATACGTAAATCTTACGCACGATTTCGACAGATTCTTAGCAACAAAAAAACCGTCAATCTATCTTTGTTATATATTATGGTTTTTCTACAACGCGAACATTATCATATATCATATTAGCATAGACTGAAAATATTTCTTTCGAAAACAGAAGAAATGCAGATAGTCTATCACATCTTCAACTCAACAGTGACTGTGTATACGTGTAACGGCATTCCATCGTACGTTTGTTTCGCATTCTTAACTTCAAATCTCCTTGCAAAGCAATGCATGATATTTATGCCTTCCGTTAAAAGCCACTTGAATCTATTTGGTACTGTTCCTCTGTTTCCCTCTCTCGCCCTCCGTATTTTGCTGTTTTCTAATTGAATGAAAATTATGTATGTATGATGAATCGTTCAGTGCAATAATACAAAGAGAAAAACTTCTAAATGAGAATATATAATATGCAAAGTTGATAAAAAGAATGCAAAAACGAGAGATAAATTTTTTTGGTGTTGTTGGTTTCTCTGGCAGAAAAAGAACATTCGTTTGGGCGCACGACAACCACGAGACTGAACACACAGAATTGACTTTTACCGCGTGTGGCGTAAAATTTATATACTCATATGGGGTGAAATTACGTATTTGTGTGATGAAACACATTATATTTACATTAAAACACGAAAAAGTAAAAAAAATCAGCATTACTCGATATATAAATGCATATCATTTATGGCATATACTTTTTGATGAAGAAAAATCCTCCTATGTTGGAGAAAAAATCCAGAAAATTTATGAGTATATATGCAGTGGCCACATGCAGATCACGCTTTGTGATTTTACCCGCTCAATGCAACAATACATAAACGAAGAAGCCTCATAATTTATATCACGGTTATTATTGTTTATTTCGCTCGAGAATGGAGAAAGAATCGTTGATCGACTAAACTAATGACCAAATAAATGTATTATACTTTCGAGTGCTTGGAATGCGTGGAGCACTGCACATACTCTCTTGCTTGAGTAAGCTGAATATTACATGTTATCTGAAATGGGGCAGTTTCTGTAAATAACCAATAATAATAGAAAAAAGCAAAAACCAACAAATCAGTGGGAGTCTCAAATGACTTACAGCAATATAATTAGACACTTTTATTATTATCATCATTTCCAAACTGTGATGGACCAATTTTACTGAACAAAGATTATGTACGTGCAATTTACGGATCTTTTTATTTTATTGGACGACAATTCTTAATAAAAACTAACCAATCCTATTTATAATTCTACGACATTGGATTCCATCTCATATTTTCTCACATTTTCTTGTAAACATTTTGCGAAAAGTTACATTAATTTTTGAGGATTTACAATAAAACCAAATTACTAGAGGGGGTACCAAAAAAAACAATCAACTCTGCTTAAGCTTTCCTATATCAGGGGTAATGTTACAACTGTAGTACTAGACTTATCAATAGATAAGATTATAGTAATTCAATAAATTTGAAATCGTTTCTCATGGTCAGATTATTTTTAAATGGCAAAGGTATGTCAAAAATGGGAAATTGGCTGACAAAAATGGGGAATTGACCCCCCAAAAATGGGGAGGGAATTGGCTGTCAAAAATGGTGCGTTTGGTTGTCAAAAATGGGTAATTGGCTGCCAAAAATGGAAAATTTGGCTGTCAAAAGTGGGAAAATGTGGCTGTCAAAAATGGGGAAATTGCCCTCCAAAAATGGGGATTTGGCTGCCAAAAACAGTGTTTGTCATTTGGCTTGCTACAAGCAGCTTGCTTGCCTGTGTCGCCTATCGTACGGCAAACAAGCAAACATGCGGACACATATACGGAAAACGAACGAGGCAAAAGTTTTAAGCCTGATATAGCAAGACACGTTGTATTTTTAAATGAGTATATTTATTATTCAAAGTAGTCTCTATGTACACGAATGACACTTTCATAACGATGCTTCAATGCTTTAATTCCCCCCTCAAACCATTCGGCACTCTTGTCCTCCCATACGTTGAAAATATCGGTTGAAATCTCTTCTTCGGTCTTGTACTGCTTTCCCTTGAGATATCTCTTAGTGTTTGGAAACAGGAAATAGTCGCTGGGGGCCAGATCTGGAGAATACGATGGATGGTGAAGTTGTTCGAAGCCGCATTCCCTGATGGCAGCTTGTGCAAGCAATGATTTGTGAGCTGGTGCATTGTCATGCAAAAGAAGACTAGGGCGTTTTTCTCTGATGGCTTTGCGCAATCTATGCATCTGTTGTGCATAATAATAGCCCGTGACTGTGGTGTTCTTTGGGAGGAATTCAACCAATATTATGCCTTTGGAATTCCAGAACACAGAGGCCATTACTTTGTTTGTGGCAATTTGTTCGCGTGGCATTTTCGATGCTGGTTCACCACGTTTGTGCCATTCCATTGTCTGTGATTTGAGCTCTGGATCATAGTAGTAGATCCATGTTTCATCGCCAGTCACTATACGATCAAAAGTATCCCCTTCATTCCATTCCAACAACTCGAGAAACTCATGTGCTGCAGCAACTCGTTCTTCTTTTTGAGACTTGTTCAAAGTTCTTGGAATCCATCGCGAGCAAACCTTTCTCATGAGCAATTTTTCATGAAGGATTCTAAATATACTTCTCTGACACGTCAAACATTGCTGCTAACACTTTCTTGTTCATTCGAGGATTTTCATGCACAAGGTGTTCAATTTTTTCCACCACATCTGGAGCAGTTGCTTCAATTGGTCTACCAGAACGTGGATCGTCTTCTAATGACTCTCTGCCCCACTTGAATTGTTTCGCCCATAGTTTTACTGTGGCATACGATGGAGCACGTTCACCATAAACTGCACGCAAGCGATCATCGATATCTTTTGGTGCCACACCTTCTTTTGTCAGAAACTTAATCACCGCAAGATATTCGATTTTATCCATTTTATAAAAAATTTCGAGTTTACTTCTTATGCAATGCTGTTGAAAACAAACGATGACAGCTATCAACTCATTTTTTTTTTTCTAAAATACTAGTGACAATTTGTACGTGAATTACAGCACAAGAACAATATGTAACTAGTGCCATCTACATGTCAGGCTTAAAACTTTTGCCTCCCCCTGTATTTTACACTGATAGTGTATAGCAAGTCATGTATACCACAGGTAAATACTTTACACCAAAATCATTGTCCGAGATACATTGCAAAAAATTTTGGTATATTTTTTTCACGAACGGTGTAAAACTTTCAAGTTTTCGATAGAAGTTAAAAGTATATTTTTCTAGTCAACAAATTTAATAATTTTTCCTCTGTAAGACTACAATATTTTGGATTTTTTGTCGTTTCTATGCCCGAAAAATTAAAACGAAAGGTAGTTCTTCGACTGAATTTTGAAACTAACCCCTCTAAAATTTATGTGCCTTTGATATTTGCCGATTTAATAAAAATACTTTTTTCGAAAATTTGCAATTTTTTCTAATTTTTCATTTTTACATCAAAAAAGCAGATCTTTGCCCTCAGATCATGAAAATATTGAAAGATAACTTCTTTTTCTTTTACACTAAATATCGCAGTGTATTTAATACACCGAAATTTACACCAAAAAAATTGGAAAAATACGTTAAATAATTCAAATTTTGCTTGGATACACCAAAATTGGGCAAATACACCGACATTTTTTTGCAATTTTACACTACTTTGAAAAATTTTGCCCACTGAGAAGTCATATAATTGCTAGGGGGAAAGAACAAAATTTATTGAATTTTTATTTGGGGTTATTGCACGAGTATTAACATCTATTTACCGTATTGAACGATATTTACCGTATTGAACGATATTTACAAATATTGAACGATATTTACAAATATTGAA